TCAAAGCAGGCACTGTGATATGGGCTAGGGCAAGAGGGAGTACCATGGAGCAGCTTAGCCCGCTGTGCAATAATGCCTGCCCCCAGCACAAAATCTTACAGAGGATACTGGGTTTCTCTTTGATTCATAGAATAATTACTTTCAAATTCCTTATAATAAGGACTCACTGAAAGATGGGATGTGTTTACTACACACTTGTTCTTCGTGCATTCTGTCAGCCTTGTAAGATGACTTACTCTGTTAAACCTGCCTTGCATAATATGAAGAAACCCTAAAGCCTGACTATTTGACATGAGATCTGAAAACAGCTCAGAACGCCCTGTCGCATAAATGTAGGCAGGAGATTGGCTTTAAAACGATACTCTAAGGAACATAACAAAATGATGTAACCAGATGTGACATTTCAATTCCACCACCACGCACTGTGCAGGTGGCCATTTCTGCTCTCTGGAAGCTAATGTTTATTCATCTGTACAGGCAGGCTGTACTGTAGAGTGGTGAGGGTCTGGCTGATTCTTTGACCTGATTTTCTGGCTATTGTGTCATTCAGGGTCATTTACAGTTGTTACTTCTAAAGACGTTCAGATTCTCATTTTCCCTTAAAGGTGGGTGATCTTGTCACGTATGTTCTGTAGGAAAATATTTTGAGAAATAGCCGTTGGTAAGCGTGGCTCTATTCCATGCGAAACTGCTCGCAATGGCTTACAAATGTATACCAAGCACTCTTGCTAATTGCTGATTTGGAATACACTGTGGCCCTTGCTATCTTCAAAGTACGTTCTCTCCTATTGGCATCTTTTTTGTGTAAGAACCATAAAGCGCCACACATATGGAGCCTCCAGTTTTTGCAGCATCACACATTCATATCAATCGTTCAACAGCTCCAAACAGATTGTGAAGGCCAATAAAAACACTTCTATGACAGTCTAATGAGCAAAAAAGCCTGGGGATTACAGGGTTTGGTATCTACTCCAAGATCAATCTAGAATTTATACAGGTGTACGAACTAATTTACCTTATATGTCTCTACCCTCTCACTTCAGTAGCATATTTTCTACCAGGACTTTGGACCCTCTTGTGTAGGTGGTTTGTAGGGCCCCAAATTTGGGTCCTAACTCTATGCCCTTTGCCTGTTACTAGTGATATGATATAAGAGAGTTGGTAATGCCACTAAGCTTTCTTTCGCTCATCTATAAATGTAAATAGTAATAATGTAAAGTAAGGACATCGTGAATATTAAATCAGTTCAGCATATGGTAGAAGCTAGTCAGTATTAGTTAAAACTATTATCATCACCTTTGTCAATATTAGTTGATATTATTATCATCACCATTATTACCCTGGCCACTTAGCTACACAACAATTTTATTTGTGTATGATGTGTAATATTAAGTCCTTTAAGATCATAAATCTAGATGGGAATTGTTAGTTTTTAGATATGAACTAGCTTAGAAGGAAATCTGACTTAAAATTGCTTGAATTAGTTCATGGCAGCATACTACAGTAACTATGTTTTAGACTAAAGTTTGGCTTGGAGAATCAGGTAGAATAAAAAAAATGTGATTTGTTCAACATGAAAAAACAACAATAAATAAATGCCAACTAGAACAAAGTTGTCCAAGTAATGCTTAGGAGCCACCTTTCTGAATAAACAAGATTGGTTTGAAATGATTACAGTGATTGTTAACACCTGGACAGGTGATTTTCCAGTACTTGAAAGTTTTCTTTGGGATGAGTCGCCCTCTAGAGATCTTGCCCACATCGTGAGTTTGCTCGATGGTGTGACAGCACACCTGCACCACTCAACTTGTGGCCTTGTCTGGTGGATCTTGGTATTTGCATTCACAGTGGCATCCTACTGGTCTAGCTCCTAGGACTCAGGCTCATTTTAAAATTAACTTTTATCTGCTGAGCAATGAGCCTATCAGTTTTTTAATATCATGGAACTTTCATCTCGGAGCCTTTCCATTTTTATTACTGGAATATTCTCCCCTGCATTCCCCCATGATGCAATAAAACAAAATCTACCCAGTGTATTACACAACTCAGGATTTCATTATATCCTGCTTGATGAGAAAGACTATTTACACAGAGACAAAGTCGTAGGCTTTTACTAGATGATTTCTTATGAGTACAGTGTGGTTTTATATAACAACATATATCTCTCCCACTTTATCGGTGATCAAGCTATGCCAACTGCTTCTGTGAGGAAGGCAGGCTGTTGCCTCAGGCTTGAGCATTCTGTGAGAACTCGGCCTGTCTCAAGGAATGGATAGATGCATGTTGGTTTGGTGGCACATGTGTAGCAGCCTCTCTTGTCTACCCATCTGTGGTCCATCTGCAGTTTCTTTTGTCTACCTACAGTACGTGGCAGTCTCTTTTATCTACCTATCATCGTGGGAGGCATGAGGTCGAGTTAGGTGACTATTAAAGAAGTTTTAAACTCATTAAAGTTCAGCTCCAATTTGATAGGAAAAATACGGGTACCTGCACATAAAGATTAGAGTTGTGCTTCATTATTCCATTTTTTTCCCAAAGTGGTACAAAATTGAATTTTTTTTCTAGTCCCCTCAAACTTAACAAGAATTGTAGTATTAGGGATTTCTTCTAGTTGCCTTTAAAGATTGGTTTACATGTTAAGTCTTTAAAGGGTAAGTCAGAAATTTATAAATAGAAAGTACTCTCATCCACCAATTCACCCCACAATGCCTACAATGTTGGGGAGGTGGGGGTGTGATGCTGGAAGCTGGGAACTCAATCTAGGTCTCTCACATGGGTGGCAGGAACCCAACCAGTGGAGCCATCACCACTGCATCCTGGGGGATGCGTTAGCAGAGGCTGGACGGGAGCCAGTGCAAACTGCTAGGTCACATGCCTGCCTCTCCCTAGCCCCGCCTCCACCAGCCTCAACTGTGTTCCTCCTACTTGTGTTAGCTTACCATTAAGTTTTGTTTTCACTAAAAGTTTAAATAGTTGCAAAAAAGTTTTTTTTTCTACCATATTCTAAGTATTGCTGCTTAAAAATAGCTATTGTATCAATTTTAAAATATACCCAGTGGAACCATTACTTGATACTATCAGTCATCAAAAGCAGTGAACAAGCTATTAAATAGTTAGAAATGTTACATGCCTTTTGTTCTCTTTGAACTTTATGTTTTGTACTTTCCTCAGGGGATTATAGCCTAATGTAACAGTTCTTTTTCTGGAAAACATGTTATTGATCACACTATTCTGTTTCTTTGCATCAAAAATAGGTACACAAATTTGTTACTTTTTAATTACTTTATGACCCTGAGGCTTTATGAATGAAAAATTTATTGTGGGTTGTGTGATTATTATGAATGTTAGTAATGAACAAATACCCTACATGAACAAAATATATTAAAAATGTAATAATAATCTGCCAAAGTAAAAATTTTGTAGAAAATTTATGTTTATTAGACAAACGAGGTATTTTTCTTCATAAAATATATAATTGTGACAAATATTTATTACTGGAGGATCACATGATTCAGTATGAATTTTGTTTCTGCTGTTTTATAGACAAATGCTGAGAAACTTGCTCAAATGAGTAAGTACACAGAAATGGATGTGGTTTTGCTGCAGCAATGTCATTGATTTCTTTGCTTCTGAGGTACAGGTCCAAGAGTGACTAGTAATCTATCATAAGAACCATTTTTTTAATAATCCATCAACTGAAAGGTAGATTATGACTTTTAATTTTAGTGAAGGCAAAACAGTGGAACATTCCTTATATCCCCAAAAGTATGTTACCTAGACATAGAATCACTCATTTTTGTCAGCATTAACACCAGTATTTCAAAAGGTCTTTTTTGAGTGTGTAAGATATTTTTTGTTCTATAAATACACTTTGTTGTAAGATTTTGGAAGGTGGAGAAGATTTGTCTTTTGTAAGATCAGAGTAGGCAATTAGGAAATAAGAGTGAGATATTTTCAGATGTAACATATTCTCAGGAAGATAAATTTTAGGCAAATGTACCAGTGCAGGTTGAGAAATTTAAAATTTCTGTACTTAAAATCAGCCATGCCCATGAGAATTATTGTGGCCCCCTAGATGTATGAGTGCCTGTGAGTAGAGATGCCAGATCACATTGATGTCACCCATATGAGTCTTTGGAGCATTGTACAAGGTAACAGAGAGTAGAGGTAGGGAAGGGGTGGTGGAGATGGTTGACAGTGAGCTAAATGGGAAAGGAGAGACATCCAGAGATGAATTGCATCTTCAAACAGTTTTTTTTTTTTTTTTTTTTTTTTTTTACAGGCAGAGTGGACAGTGAGAGAGAGAGACAGAGAGAGAAAGGTCTTCCTTTTTTGCCGTTGGTTCACCCTCCAATGGCCACCGCTGCAGCCGGCGCACCGCGCTGATCCAATGGCAGGAGCCAGGATCCAGGTGCTTTTTCCTGGTCTCCCATGGGGTGCAGGGCCCAAGCACCTGGGCCATCCTCCACTGCACTCCCTGGCCATAGCAGAGAGCTGGCCTGGAAGAGGGGCAACCGGGACAGAATCTGGCTCCCCAACCGGGACTAGAACCCGGTGTGCCGGCGCCGCAAGGTGGAGGATTAGCCTATTGAGCCACGGCGCCGGCCTTTCAAACAGTTTTATGCGCAGGGTATCATAAACTAAGGGGATAACACATTTCAAATGAGCACCAGTGAGAAAAATGGGTGACTTACTCCCTGGTGCCGGAAATGCAAACAAACCAGCAGCAAGCCTCCCTACTCCTTCCTTGAGCCCTTAAGATTTCCAATCATTTATCTCTAGAGATTTTTGTCAAGTCTTTATAGTTTCCAAATGCAGGGCACAAGTGGTTGATAGACATCTAACCTCTTGTAGATCCAAGAAACTTGGATAAAAAAAGAATACGATTTTCTGTCAAGTACCTGCCCCAAGGGCTTGGGTAACCATACAGCTGTTCAAAAGCATTAGCAAAAGACGTTCGAAGAGATAGAAACAGTTATTTCCAAAAGAGAACCACTTACTATGAGTGGGCCCCGGTTGTTTTCTCGGTACTTGTTCTGGAAGAAAATGTAAACAACGGTGGCGGCCAGAGAGTAGAGGAAGGCGAACACAGCCACGGTGACGAAGAACTCTGCTGAAGATGAGGAGTCGCCAATCAACGCCAGCTTCTGCCGTGTCTTTCCCTCACAAGTAGGCACCTCAAATGCCACCTGGTACAACCTAAAGGGGCAGATGTGAGAAGACACTCTTAGAACTGCCAGGCAGAGGCAAGAAGAGAGCGCTCCTAGCAGGAGTGGGGAATCTATGTTCCTGCCAAGGGCCACTTGGATAATTATGATATCATTCATGGGCCATACAACATTATCCACTTAAAACTGAGCCTCGTGGGGATTTGCTGACTTTCGAGTTGCCTTGGCAGGACCAGACCAGATGATTTTGCAGGCTTTATAAGGCACAGGGGTTGCACGTTCACCACCCCTGCAGTAGAATGAGGTATCACTTGGGTATTTTATGGCATGTTAACATGGCACATTAGTTGAGGAATTTATGCATTATAGCTGGAAACATGGAAACAAAACTGCTGTGAATACCATTCAATTTGGGTTTCACAAGAGCTGGTCAGCCTAAGAACAGCAGCGAAGGGGGAAGGGAACCACAAACAGTGCTGGGTTAGCCTTTGGCATCTCCTTCTGAAGTTCTCCATGCCCTTTCTCCATAGCATGGCCTGCCAGGGCTTTAATCCTGGGCCCCCAGCGATGTCCCCAACTTCTCCACCTATTACTTTGGCTTTCATTAGCTTGCTCCCATCATATGGGCCCTGCTTGCTGTTTCTCAGTTGTAGTCCTGAGGTCCTCCCATAGATGATTTCCTTCTCCTGAATCACTCTACCCCTTGGCAGGCTCCTTGCCCATGGCTGGCTTCTTGGCATTCAGGCATCAGTGTAAACATCTTACAGAAGATGTTTTCTGGCCTTTAATCTCAAGCTCTTTCCTTTGAACATTTTCCATCACACCATCCTGTTGGATGTCATTCATACCACTCCTCTCCCAGCGAAGCTGTCTTGCTAATGTATCTGATGATTTTTGTTTTGGCCTCCTCTGCCCTCTCCGCAGTGGTTATGGTATCTCCAAAATAGTGGGGATCTTGGTTTCCTTCTTTGTGTGTTCCCAAAGCCTGACACTTGTCGGGCACTCAGTACTTGGTTAAGTGAATGGACATTCTGAATTCTGCAAGATGACTTATATATCTTAATATTTTTTAAAAAATGCTTATTTGGTTTATTTGAAAGGTATGCACACACAAAAAAAACAAAAACCCTATTCCTTGACAGGCAAGACAAGGGTCACTAAAGTCATCCCTTCTCAAAGTGTCAATTTCACTTCTGCTGATTGCATTTTAGGTGCTCTATTATTTATCACAGATCAGGAAGAACATATGGTATTTGTCCCTTTGGGACTGGCTTATTTCACTAAGTACGATGTTTTCCAGATTCATCCATTTTGTTGCAAATGACCAGATTTTTTTTTTTTCATACTGCTAGGTAGCTAGTGATCCTGAACACTTTTTCGTGTGTCTTTTGGCCATTGGATTTCCTTTTTTGAAAATTGTCTGTTTAAGTCCTTGGGCAGTACTTTATGCTCAGCAAATGACACCTAAGAAAGATGTGTTATAACCTATACAGCAGCTCAATGGACCAGAACTAGGTGGTAAACTGTAATTTAATATAGAAGTCAGAATTCTTCAGAAACTCTTCTTAGGGAGGCACTTGAAAACAGACATGGATGAGGCTTATTTTATCAATAAAGTACCACCCAGAAATTATCTGTGGAACTAACAGTGATGATCAAGCTATTGATCAACCTGGTAAATTCCTAGCTCATGATTAGAAAGTATTTTTCTCACTAAGAAAAATCTCATCTCTTTAAAACAGGTTTGTTATGCACACTCTCTTCCAATTTGAATAATGGTGATAAGGGTAAAAAAAATAATAATTGCAACTAACATATTGGATTATTAGGCCAATTGTGGCATAGACAGACTCTTTGTAACGTCACCTAGGAATAATTTGTCTTAAGCCACATGGTGAATAAATATGGGGCCACAAGGATTTACACTTGAACCTGATTCCAGAGCCTGATCTTTTAACTTCTACATTAACATTTTTTAAAAATGAGGACATTAGCTAGAATAAATATTTTTTCAAAGTGAAGGTCAGGGGCCACTGGCATTGGAGTTACTAGAGGCCTTGTTAAAAATGTCTATTCCAGGGCTCCATCCCCAAACTAGGAGATTGGCCTACTTGACAGATAAAGCAGGAAATTTTCCTTCCCCTGAGTTCCTTATTTTTCAAAAACACGTTCTTTTTTATTTACTATTTGATTAAAAAAAAAGAACTATTTATGTAGTTAATTTGATTTTGCTTGTGGTTATTGACTTTCCTTACAAAGGATGTAAAACAAAAAAAACCAGACATACAGGTGCACAGCTCCAATAAAACTCAGGAAAATAGAAACATTCATTACAGGTATATTACAGCACCCGTTTCCTGCACTTGCCAGAAATACTAAAACACTTCTTGACAGTTCCGTCTGTAGGTGCACTGAAAAACAAAAGGTTTATTGTGTAATCATCTCCATTTTTCTGCTATGGATTATTTTCAGAGAGTATACACTTTTCTTATTATATTTTAATATATCATACATTTAACACATTTTAAGATATCAGATTTCTCTTTATTTTGATAGAGAATTTATTCAACAAGTTTGATACTCTTTGCAACCAAATATTCATGAGTATCTACATTATGGAAGTTCATGTTTCATGCCTACTATACATTTTCAGCACACAGACAAAATAAAAATTCAGCCTTCTTCATGAATCAATTAGAACAAAATGAGGAAGTAGCAACCAACCTCAAGATAGGTTCCTATAGTGTAAATTCTGATGTACACTGCACAGGTCACCTTTAACTTTGAAATGGATTACAGATACATGCAAATCAGCAACTTCAGAGTGCTGAAATTTTTTTTTAAAAAAGGTTTAGGGTAGTTTTATTTACAGTATCAAAAAACTAGAAATAATTCATACTTATCAACAGATAAGTAAAGTACATTAAGTCCATCTGATGCACAGTTTCCTCATAATATACATTTTCCTTCAACTTTTTGAAGCTCCCCATCATGTGCAGGTCTGAAATATTTTTACAACAAAATCTCTTTTTTCCCCAAAAAACTTTTTGTTTAAGGGCTACAAATTTCATAAGTACAACTTTAGGAACATAAATATTCTTCCTACCATATCTGCCCCCCCATCCACACTCCCAACCACTCCATGCCCAGTCCTATTCTCCATTAAAATTCATTTTTAATTAACTTTATGCACAGAAGACCAACTCTATACTAAGTAAAGATTTCAACTATTTGCACACACACACACAAACACACACACAAACTGTTTGATAACAAGTTTTACAATTAACTCTCATAATACAACTCATTTAGGACAGAGGTCCTGCATGGGGAGTTAGTGCACAGTGACTCCTGTTGTTAATTTATCAATTAATGCTCTTAGGTATGACGTAGGTCACCACCTGAGGCTCCTGCTCACTGATAGCCATGTATGAGGCTTGCACTGAGTTTCTGGCTCCAGCTTGGTTCCCAGCTTCCACCAGGTCCAATTCTGGCTGCTGAAGGCATTTGGGTAGTGAACCACCAGTGACTCAGAGAGCAGCACTCTATCTGCCTCTCAAATACATACACAAATAAATAAAAATAAAAATACTATTTGTATAAGAATATTCATAATATCCCAAAAGTAGGAGCAGCCATAGTCTGTCAACTTAAGAATAAATGAAATACGATGTATCCATATGGCAGAATCTTAACTGACAATAAAAAGAAATGAAGTACTAAAATATACTACAACTTGGATGAATCGTGGATATGTTCTAAATGAATGAAGGCAGTCACAAGACCACACATTGTATGATTCTGTTTGTATGAAATGTCTAGAATAGGCAAATCTATTTAAATTTATGTAAAGCAGATTTGTGTATGTCTTGGATAGGGCAGGAGGCAGGGCATGGGAGAAGTGGGGATGATAACTAAGGGGTATACAATTTCTTTTTTAAAAAAAATTTGTTTCAAAGTCACAGAGAGAGGAAGAGACAGAGTGAGTGAGCGAGCAAGAGTACTTCCATCTGCTGATTTCTTCCCCAGATAGCTGCGATGGCTGAGACTGAGTCCAATGCCTGAAGCATCATTCAATTCTTCCACTTAGGTAGCAGGAGTCCCAACAGTTTGGCCATCAACAGGGGGCTGGATTGGAGGGGAGCAGCCAGGACACAAAGTAGCACCCATATGGGATGCAGGCACCTCTTAACCTACTATGCCACAATGCTGGCCCCGGAGGTTAGGCGATATTGAGAATCTTCTGTAATTGACTGTGGTTACTGATGTTCTGTGAATATAATGCAAGCCTCTGGCTTGTCCATGTTAGAAGGGTGAGTTTGTGAGATGTATGGTGTGAGAAATTTTTCCTTGGGAAAATTGTCAGACAATAGGTAGGAAAGAACATGCACTAACCCTCTGCATAAGGTGAGGAGTGGAGCACATGGAGAAACGCACTGTGGTTTGGGAGGCTGGGAGATGGTGAGAAAGTGGGTGGGTGGCATAGGATGAGATGCAGAATAACCTCAGGGTCCCTGTTGGGAGGCCTCGGGAGCCAGGTTATAGATTTTGGTCTTTTTTGGGAGACAAAGACTGGAAAGATTTTCAGAGTATCAACATGTGCAAAACCAGAACCATTTTGCCTCCCATGTGGAGATGTGCACAGGTGCCAAGGAGGCAGCCATGTGTGGCTAGCATGCCATGTCCCTCAGATGATACGCACAAACTGGGGCCACAATCTCTGGGTACTGAGGGCAGTGAGTGAGACGGGGCAAACACAAGAACTACTCGTGGTCTACAGCCAGCTGAGTAACACCATTTCCCTGCTGCTAACTTATTGTGTTGACTTTCAGGAATTGTCAATTTTGCTAATTTATAGAAGGCCCAAAAATCATTAAAAAATAAGCTGTGCTTATTAATAACAGTGATCTATAGTTGGTATTTGTTGTACAAGCCACACAGGAGTAAAATCAGGACAAAGAAGGGACAGGGAAATGAAGCTCTAAATTAGTAGCTAATCTATGAAGCTCTAAATAGTGGGAGCATAATAGT